GCTTGCTTTGGGTTCTTCAGTCAGAATATTGACAGTAGATTTTGCAGAAACCAACAACTATTTTTATTAGAATGGTTGCAGCAATAGAATCTCACAAGAGTAGCATGGTAGCTCTTGCCCTACAACCAGGAGGCTGTGAGTTTGATCTGAGATAGTGGCAGATATTTCTCTCCCTGGGTGCACAGAGAAAATATCTGCTCTGAGCTCCACATAGGCATCAGGAAGGGCATCTGACTGGTAAATGTTCAGATCCATTCAGTCACCCTTACTGCTACCTGATGCAAGGGACATAACCTACCCATTGCAAGACTCTTACTGGTGACCCACACTTGACCCAGTACAAAACCCACAAGACTCTCACTTTACATATCTACACCTGATCCATCACAAGATCCATCAGTAAACCCTGATCTGATGTGACCTCACCATCACAAGATCTACTGACTACACAAAGCCCTTATAATCAGAAGAAAACTGACACGGGCATCCCCTAAATCCTGCAATCCTGGTAACAAAATGTTTTGAAAGCAACTAACAAGGATTGTGTATTTTTCTAATACTACCTAACGCTTTTTGAATGTTTCTTAAAGTCTATCCCTTGGTTCTCTACAGATGTACAGATAGTAAATTATTCTGTTTGTGTATGGAAGGACTGCAAACTTTGGTCAAGACTAGAGGAATGTTGTTCTTTTCCCTCTGAATGAATTGGCAGTTCTATGAGAGGATCCTCACTATTTGTGTGGTCATCCATGATGGTGCATATTCTTATGAAGCAGAGTAACAGGACAAGGCATCTCTGGTGCTCACCAAGAGCATTTGTACCCCACTTTGTGTGACTCATAATCCCATAGTCAGTGTATTTATGTTGCTCATTTTCCCCATTGGGAATGCAGAGTTGAAAGAATGTAAAGGTAAAGGTTCCCCTCACACATATGTGCTAGTGTTTCTGGCTCTAGGGGGTGGTGCTTATCTCTGTTACAAAGCCGAAGTGGCAGCACTGTCCGAAGACATCTCCATGTTCATGGGGCTGGTATGACTAAATGCTGAAGGCACACGGAATGCTGTTACCTTCGCACCAAAGTGATCCCTATTTTTCTACTTGCATTTTTTACATACTTTAGAACTGCTAAGTTGGCAGAAGCTGGGACAAGTAATGGGAGCTTACTCCATTACATGGCGCTAGGGATTTGAACTGCCGAACTGCTGACCTTTCTGATCGACAAGCTCAGAATGCAGGGGGAATAAATGAGTATTGTTAGGGTTAGGTTAGGGTTAGCATTTCCTAGTTTTTCATTATTAGATGCTCCTTGGTATTCACATCAGGTTTCAGGATAATAACGTAGCATTTGGGGATAAAAATACAGCCCAGTAAACCCAGGATGGAGGCCAGAATGGAGAAGATTTGCCCAGCCACCATGTATTTACCCTTGGTGCTCAGGTAAGTGGGGACAAAGGAGACCCAAACAGTGAAGAAAACCAGCATGCTGAAGGTGATCCACTTGGCTTCATTGAAAGTCCCTGGGAGTTTTCTGGCTAGAAAAGCCACTATGAAGCAGATGGCAGCCAGAAATCCCATGTAGCCAAGGGCACTGTAGAACATGGTGACTGAATCTTCATTACACTGCAGGATGATCTGTCCTGGTTGGGAATGCAGATCAGAGTCAGCAAATGGGGGAGCATTTCCCAGCCATATAAGGCAGATGATTATCTGAACTCCAGAGCAGGACAATACAATGGAATTGTACAGACTTTCCCCCAACCATTTCCTCATCCTGCTGCCTGGTTTTGTGGCCAGAAATGCCACCACCACCATGACAGTCTTGGCCAGTAAGGAAGACACAGCAAAGGAGAAAACAATGCTGAAGGTGGTTTGTCAAAGAAGGTTGGTCACTGTGTTGGGGCAGCCAACGAACAGAAGGGAGATAAAAAATGAAAGCAGGTGGGAGATCAGGAGAATGTAGGTGAGGTCTCGGTCGTTGGCTTTGACTATGGGAGTTTCTCGGTATTTAATGAAGATTCCCAGAACAAAGGCAGTAGTTATGGATAAGGCAAAGGCAAAGAGAGCCGGGATGAGACCCAAATTTTCTTTATAGGACAGGAAAGTTATAACCTTGGGGATACATTGATCTTGCTTCTTATTGGAATGCTGATCATCTGGGCACTTTTCACAATGGGCTGTATCTGAAAAACATTATCTGGCACATATTTTTTGTTCTGCAGCTGTAGGATTATGACAAATGCAACCAAACTTGATTACTACCACAATACATAAAACATGTTTTTAAATGTGATGGGCTAGGAGAGGGATTGGGAGAGATGGGGAATGTATTAGAAAATCCCTCCCCTCTGTACTTGCTTAAGGCATAAGCTGAAATCTGAGAAAACCTATCCAGGAAGGATAAATGGATAAAGGATGACAGTGACAAAGTGCTTGGGATCATACAGCTGAAAAATAGCTGAAGTATGACAATGTAGTGCACCACTATTTTGGAATCCTACCAAAAACATCAGGCAGGCACAAATCTAGTACTTTGGCTTTAATTAACTTTATTGCTGTTGGGACACAGTTATTTCCTTGTTGCCTTGCTGTTGGGCTCTTATAACAAGTTTGTTCACTTGATTGTTCCAACAAGTGGAAAAATGTTATTGAATGTATGGGCCATATCAATGGTGGTATTCAATTTTTTTTACTACAGTCCTGTGGGCATGACTTGATGGGCAGGGGAAGGATATTGCAAAATCTTCAGTCAGAAGTAGTATTTGCTGGTTCTCCAAACTACTCAAAATTTCCACTATTGGTTCTCCAGAACTGGACAGAACCTGCTGAATACCACCTCTGGGCCGTATAGATTGAAATTTTATTAATTTCAGTCATTTGTGTGTAATTTAAGTCAAAACTATTTGTTTTCTTTACTCTGTATTTATTATTATTATGGCTCTTAGCACAACAAATACACTTTGTGTGGAATCAAAAGGAGGACCCCAAAACCAATAATTAATGTTCACTGCAGTATCTATTTAACAATGCACATTGGAGGGGGATCTCTTCCAAAAATATAGTGGGAGACACACTCCTGGAGCAAAAAAAAGTGATGCAGTTATATTAATGCATTTCATAAAGAAGGAACAATGATGCATGCATACGTATTCAGAAGGAATAACGTAATAGATTCCAGATTACTTCCTATCATGGTATCTACAGAAAACAGTGCATTTAGTTAGAAGAAATTTAGTTGGAGAAATCATAAGGGTAAAGTTTAGAAAATATTTTACCTTTTATTCCAGTGGTGAGTGTTAGGGATAAACCCTAGCAGGAATCTGCAGGGCAGTCAGGCAGGCAGGCAAAATATGTGAGATAAACGTTTTTGTAGCTTACACTCAGTAAACCAGATACACAGTGCCTATTAAATAGTTTAATTCCAGCAAGAGTTAAAGCATAGTCAAAACAGTCCATATATCATTCACTTAGTTCAGTCCGTCCAGGGATTATTCATTTGCAAATTCCAGTGTCGAAAAAGAGAGGTCAGTACACTTACAAATATCAATCCGGTGATATATCTCCTCGCAGTAGAGAGATATGCAGAACTCAAAAACTCCTCTCTTCCTTGAGCAATTCTTCAGTAGGGAAATACGCAGCTAACAAACCATGCAATCCAGTAAATTGTCAGTAATTGCCAGCAAACTGTCAGCGTCTCGTCAGCAATCAATCAGGTCCTCTTGCTGCCTCTTATGGTGGTTTCACACCACACCCAAAATTACATGCTTTACAGTTTTAAAGTGACACACACTTAAACTTAGAATGATAGCTTATATATATTATTTTACCCAAACTACGTTAGGTGACCTATGTTATACCTAACAGTGAGGTAGTCTCCAGGCTTGTAGTAATGAAAACCCTTATTATCCTCTTTTGTCAGCTTCAGTGGACATCTCACCAGCATTGTAGCACAAGGAAATTGGGATAGGAGCAGAAGCAGAAAGAGCTGCTTGTCCAGCAGCAACATTGGATGTGTACGGATGGAGATCCTTCTTAAATCCCCCCCCCTCTCTCAAAAGAGCACAACGGTAATGAAAATGGTCCAATTTGGCTCCAGAACTGGAAGAGGTTCCTGGAATTTTACATTACCACAATCCAAGCCTAATTTTACTATGCCGTCTGCTCTCAGAACAGCAGGAGTAGTTTCAGATCATATTTCCAGGATTTCTATACCATGTTTTTGTCACATTATTTTAAAAGTCAAGGTAGTAGTGGAAGTCTCATGTACGATTTTCTTTCAAAATAGAATAAATAACCATGATTTTAATAATTAGAAGGGAAATTGAGAATGACTGTTGCAACAGAAGTGTGCATTGTTGAAAAGCAACAGTTTTGCATCACTCAAGGGCATGGTTCTGGTTCAGGAGTCTAGAAGGGAAACAATCTATGGAAGTTTAATTGCCTTGGGACATATTGTTGAGATTCTAAAGATTGTCATGTGTTAAAACAATTGAACACTTTTCTCTAGCTGTCTGTAGAGATTCTCAGTCATTCAGATCACGTGGTTGTCTCAAATATGCTTTTTTAAAAGGCAATTGGGCTTTGCTGTTCTTTGAAGAAGTTTTGCTTCTTATCCAAGAAGCTTCTTCAGTTCTGACTGAATGATGGTGCATGGAAGGGATTATATTCCTTGAAGTCATCTAGTGATTAGCACTCATTCTGAGGGTTCTGGAGGCCCTGTGCCCTCAGGGTCACCTAAATAATGCAAATGAGTGTGGAGCTTTCTTGGAACTGCTGAAAGGACTGTGTTGTAAACAGGAGATAGGTGGTGTCATATCCCTCCCCTTCTGTTGAAAGTGGGCTGTTTAATCTTAATGTAGATAGCCCCTTGGAGTCCCTCTTTCAAACCAATGGTCATCTCTGTCCAAAAGTCCACATTCTGGACAGAGAGGACTGCTTGCTTGAAAGAGGGGAAAATCCAAATTGTGGGTGAAGCTCTATTAATATAGCTTTTGGAATTACAATCTATTTTTATGTTTGTAATTATTTTTATATTATGAGAAACCATGGTGGTGCAGTGGTTAGAATGCAGTATTGCAGGCTAATTCTGATGTCTGCCAGCAACTCGATTCTAACTGGCTCAAGGTTGACTCAGCTTTCTAGCTTTCTGAGGTTGGTAAAATGAGATGTCTGTTGGGTGTAATATGCTGTTGTGGTTAGCTGGCTGCAGGTGCGGATGGCTGAGGAGAGCGAGGACTCAGATGAGGGTCCAGGACCATTAGGGAGTGGACTTCTGCCTTCAGAGATTGTGGGGCCTGGCAGCAGTGATGAGAAGGTTCCCGAGGAGGCTATGCCAAGTGCGTGTGCACGCAGGATTGCTTGCAGGAAAGAGCAGCTGCAACAGCACAGGCGACTCGGGAGTAAGGCTGCATGGTAATGGCCCCTCCTTGAAAAAAATAAAAGTCAGCTGTGAAGCAAATGTTCTTTGCAGGAAGCAAAGACGTTTTGAAACTCAGTCTCATGGACATTACAGTATCTTAAGTTGGTATTTGAAGACTCTTGTGTTGTGAAATATTTCTTATCTGTGATTCTTGGCAGTCTCACACAGTTTTGGCAATGTTTGTGCTTATCAAAGTTAATTAGTTTGGGACTTCTGGTATGAGCTTGCGACTGTGTGCAGTTTTGATTTGTGCTCACCACTGGAGTGCTCCGAGCTGGCTGGTTTCAGGGATAAACCACCTTGTAGAGGTGGTGAAGAGGGGGGAGACCACCAGCAGGGTTGAGGAGAGCCAAATCTCTCCTCCCCAGCTGGCCATTACTCCCTTTCCCAAAGGCAGTTGCAACGGTGGTCAGAAATGGCCATCTCAAAGAAGAACTCGACCGGAAAAGAATGTGCAGGAGGAAGATAAGAAGAGAAAGTTTTGGCTGACTGGGTTGAACTGAAAAAGCAATAACATACAGTGCCCTGGTATTTGAGCTATAAAGAATAACATTGCTCCCAAAGAAGATTTTGAAGTGGCGAATGAGAGAGGGAAGGGAAAGGATTTGGGTTTTTTTTCTTTCCTTCCCCATATTGACAACTAAGAGATTTAAGTAAGAAACTGACAAAAATCCACTTTGATATTAACAGGCACTTAAACTGAAAATAAAATGTCAAAGAGATAATAAAGACTTCTGGATTTTCAAAAACTTTTAAAAGAAGGAAAGGAGAGAAAAGGAAAAAACAAAAGGGTGGGATCTGGAAAAATGGAGGAGATCACCTGGAAGTAAAAGGAATTAACAGTGAAACTTTAACAAGAATCCTAAAAGATATATTCTAACTGAAACTTGGTAACAAAATAATAGAACCCCAGAAAGAGAAAGTGGAAAAAAGAATCAAGAAGAAACAGCTTTGGATTATTTGGATTACTTGGTGATTTTTGGATTTTTGGTTATTGGATCTAAAGGACTAAAATCAATCGGGTGGTTTTTTAAAAAGTTTTTAGAATGGTATCACTCATGGAAGAACTGAAAATGGAACTTAAAAAACAGGAAAAAGATTCACAAGAAGGAAGAGGTTTTTTGGGCTTTGTATTTCAATCTTTAGAAATGGAGATCCTGAACTATGAGAAACAACAAGAAATGCCTGTAGAACAAGCAGGGGAGGACAAAGAAGAAGTCATCTTCAATGACCAAGCAATTCTATGTGGGGGAAAAAAGGAAAGTGGGGGAAAGAGAGTGAAAAATTTAAGATCTGAAAAAAACAAAAAAAAGAATAGTTTGAAAAGTAATTACAATATTAGGAAGAAACAGAAGGGAGGATTACAGAAGAGAGAATTAGAATTAGAGAGACAAGGGGTCAAAAGGGGGAGGGAGAAGAAGAGGGGAAAGAGGGAAAGGAAAAGAAGTTATAAAGGACAGAAACA